AGTCCCATAGGTAGATGGGGATCAGCTGAGAGTCAGCTGATGCGAGCTTGACTAACGTGACCTGCCAGAACAGAGCTACGCTAGATTTTTGTCAATTTTTTCGCTAGACTGTCAAACTCTGTTACCAAGGTAGAGTAACAATGCCGACAATGCGGTAACAGAATTGACAGTCCATCGGACACTTCTGTCAATTCTTTTACTTTACAATTCTGTTACTTAAAGGGTCAACTCTGTTTATGAACTATTTTCACAAAAAAAAAAACAATAAAATTGTTGTTTAAAATCTAATAAACATTATTGGTTTATTTTTGCACCCTTATAATATTTCAACAACATTTCCTTTTTTTAACTGGATATTGTATATAATACATTTTCAGATTTAAAATATTTACTCCAAGTGGACGGTTCTGTGAAGACATAGGTTTTGTTTTTTTTTTTAAGATATGCATAGGTGAAATATTATCTCAGTTTCAAGTGATGGAATGTAAGGACTGTTTGTCTAATGAAACAAGAAGGATTTTTCCTAAGTCTATGTGCTCTCTCTAAGAAAATATTTTAATCTAAAAGTTCTTACACCAAGAGTTATTTTATAAAGTGTCAAATCTGTTACCACAATATCAAAAGGAAAACAGATTTTTTATGTAATACATTTTCAGATGAAAAATATTTGCTCCAAGTGGACGGTTCTATGAAGACATAGGTATTTTTTTTTATTTTTAAGGTATGCATAGGTGAAATATTATCTCAGTTTCAAGTGATGGAATGTAAGGACTGTTTGTCTAATGAAACAAGAAGGATTTTTCCTCTTATGATTTATTGTTATTTCTACACATTGGCTAATTTGTCCCTAACAGAGTTGACAAACAATACCATAAAGACATCTTTTTTTCATTAAAGGTAAAAAAAGGAAGTAACTTGTGTTTGGCAAGCACTGAATTATTAAAATTAAATATGTTTTAAATAAGATACTGAAAAAATAATCAGTTAGTGAAAAGTTTTTTTTCTTAACTTTCTGCAATGCCAAATGTATCTCCAATTATAGAATCACCCATGTGCTTAAATTGGCACATATACTGTGGTATATGTTTTGTACAACCCAAATTTAATTGTTATTATTTCCGATTCCTGATATACTAAGATTTGCCACCGGGTGGCGCTGCTGCACCAGCACAACATGACCAAGAACACAACAAATCTCAATAGCCTACTGTTTCATATGATCACAGGAAATGTAAAAGTTATACCAAGGGACAGGGGGAGTCTTTCCCCTTGTCCAAATACCCACACTTGCGGTCTTGGCCACTTGAGAGCGCGTGCGCAAGACTGTCCCAGGTCTTAAAAACGCCAAAGCGCAGTGCCCTTAACGCGCACTAAACCCACACTATCTTGAATACCGCTCCGGAGCCGTATTCGAGGCTTAGTGTATCCCATCATGCATCCTGTTCTGGAAATAAATCCTGAGACTTTTTGCCAAGATCTCGTGAGAGGTCATGGAAACCAATGTATGTTAAATATTAATAATAGTTAACTAAAAAAAAAATCTGTTAGTGAAAAGTTTTTTTTCTTTACTTTCTGCAATGCCAAATGTATTTCCAATTATAGAATCACCCATATACATATATATATATATAATTATATGTGTATTTATAAATATAAGATATACAGGTATATTTTCATATGGTGATGTGTTTGAAAATGATTTTGATATATGACATTGGTGTTTTTTGGCTGAATGTGATGCCTGCGCATATATTGGGATGTCCATAAACTGCGATTATTAAATTGACATGTGTGCACTGGCAAATGTGACACTGAGGAAGAGTTTTGCAATCTTTTGCACGCTTTGACAAAGATTAATATATTACATTTTGAAGGTGACATTCTGCAAGGTGGGCCAGTAGTAGTATCCTACACTATGTGTCAGATTGGTGATTTATGACCTGATTTATGACCTGATTTATGACCCCCTGTCAGCGTTGATTGACAGGTTGTCATATGTCAAATGTGTACATGGTCAGATTTATGACCTGATTTATGGCTATATGACCCCTCTGTCACCCTGACTGCCATGTCACCAGAGTCTTATCACCCCTGACTGACATGACAGAATCAACGCTGACAGGGGGTCATAAATCAGGTCATAAATCAGGTCATAGATCACCAATCTGACACATAGTGTAGGATACTACTACTTGGGCCATATATGCAGATATATGTGCGTTATATAGAAATTATATAGCCATTATCTGGATCTCAGAGTACTTGTACCTCGGAAAAGGGTTCAGTGTAAGAAAATTGGTGTCCCTCTCCTAATACAACTCTGGGCGGTGTTTCCCGATTACGTTGTCTCTTAGCGCTCTGCGAAGACTCTTAGCAGCATATAACATCAGGGAAGAAAACAGAAAAATATATGCCCAGTGGTCACCACATAAAATACAAGGGGGAAAAAACCTACACGAGACATTGCGTCATAATTTTAATAGCTTTTAACAAAAGGGGGGGGGGACATTCTGATACCATTGCTTACAGCAAGAAGCACTTCAGAAATAGTTGAAATTGCAAACTAAATTCAACCCTGGCTGGATATTTTATATAATTTCGAAATGAGTGCACGAACCTGCAACGTCACGCGCAAATATTTAATGTAACTGGCAGTATAACTTTGAAAGGGTCATTTATATTATACTGCTGAATTTGGCGAATATATATATAGAATTTTTTTATAGAATTGCAGCTTCTGTATCTGCTTCTGAAGGTATCCAGGAGACCTAGGCTGCGTTTCCCGAAACCTTCTTAACGCTACGTCGTTCGTAGGTTATACCTTAAGTTGTACCTTTACGTTAATACGTGTTTCCCGAAACGTTCTTAGTTAAGTATACCTTCTGTAAGTCATTCGTTCGTAAGGTTAGTCTGGACCACTCTTAGCTATACCTTATCGCTGTTCACAGCTCACTCCGCTAGTGGCCACCACTGTGAAAAAACCTTCTTCACATTTCAGTCGATACGATTGTAATTCTGTGGCAAGAAAAAGTGCAGAACCAAATAAATATTACAATTCTAAAGTTGTAATACACCCAGTGTTCAATTAGTGTTCAATTAATTGAAGTGTTTTTATGCAAAGAATAAAACTGTCATTATACTGATGGTTGTTAGTTTTTCCATTATAATATACAAAGGCACATCGGCTGGCAAAATATTAGGCAGCACATAATTAGGAGTCTATTTAAAGGGAATTCATGTTATGGGGAGTTTGGTCAAACTATGGCAGCGAGACATTAGTCATTAGGCGAATAGTTGTCCTAAATTAAAGACGGCTGCCGCGGAGCCAGTTAGTGTATGTGCACTATTTCATAATAGTGTCAGAATAGCTACCATGTCAAAAGATACAATTCTACAAAAATGTCGCCTGCCACGGGAGCAAATTCAGCAGCTTTTACATCTTGTTGGTCAAACTTTGTAGAGACAAACTTGACGGAGCTACCCCCTAGAGACACCGTTATCGGGAAACGCAGCCCTACGTTTTAGAGTATATACACTAAATGGCTCCACAGATGGCCCTGTCTTTGATTTAGCACAACCATTCGTTGTATCGGTGCCATACTTTGGCCAAACTCCCCACCTCAATTATTCACTTTAAATAGACTCCTAAGCCTTTATTGCCTAATGGATTGCCAGCTGATGTACCTTTGGATAATATATTAAAAAAAAGCTAACAACCATCAGTCTAATGACAATATTATTCTTTGCATCAAAACACTTCAATTTGTCTTTATTAAACACTGGGAGTAGGCTATTACAACTTTAGAATTACAGTATATTCGTATAGACTGAAATATAAAGAACTGTGAACTGTCAACAGTGATGATAAGGTATAGCTAGGAGTGGTCCAGACCAACCTTACGAAAATATGACTTACAGAAGGTAAACTAAACTAAGAACATATCGGGAAACACGTACGATAAGGTACAGCTTAAGGTATAACTTGAACGTAGCGTTATGTTTGGGGAAACGCAGCCCTGTTCGGTATATAGCCTAGTTATTTAGTGCACATTTAGAGATTTCAGTCACCAGACAAGTGGTTTATTAAGAACGGACAAAAATATGAAAGAACAAAAATATATTTATGAATTCATCAAAATGGAAATATAGAAATATATTTTTCAAATAGAAATATGTGAAAATATAGTTATTCATTTGACTAATTTTGATATGGGCTACATGTTGCATGTACAAATAAGCAACTTATTGTAGACAGCCTATAATTGTAAAGCGTAATCAATCAAAATGATAATCGCTTTCAAAAACATTTCATGCATTATTTTTTCACTTTGCATTGAGAAGATGATTTGCATTTACTTTTGTAATAAGTACAATTTAAAGATGTACTTTTTTTACTTTCACCTCAAGTATGTTTTTGGCCAGATACTTGTAGGCTACTTTTAACTGAGTAAAATATTTACACAGTACATCTACTTAGGAAGGAGAATTTTGGAGTAGGACTTTTTACACCCCTGGATCTACACAATGCAATTTCTACTAGATGTCACTATATTTTCAGAGTGTTTTACTAGTTTACACCACTGCTGGTTCACATTTTCACATTTTTTTTTCAGCAAGAATTAAAATATTTTCAAGGTTAGGCTATATGAGTAAATAAGAGGAACTTATTAGAACGGAGCAGCCATAATGAAATTCGTAAAATAGAAAGATTCCTCCTTTGAGCTCCGATTTACAATGGGAGGATACAAATAACTGTGTTCTCCTTCGTTGTTAAGGACAATCAATCATGCAAAGCAGCCTATTTGTCTCAAACTGATTTGGTTCATGTCGACCGGAAAAACACATAGAAGAGACATTTTGATTGTTATAGATTTTATTAACTGCATCTGATATTTTAGCTTTATCATTTAAAGTACCTCTGTTTGCAGATGCACGAGAAGCCCCGGGATGATGAGTTTATCTGTATTTATCAGCGAGGGCTGCAGACAGAGCCGCAAGGAACTTGTCCACGGCCACGTGCACTTCTGCGGTGAAGTCAGCGGGGAAATGAACTGCAAGAGTCACGAGGATGTTATGGGACAGAATCTGAAAAAATAACCCAAAAAGTAGTAAATGAACAGTTAATGCACTATGAATTAATAATTCGCATTTTATTTCACATCTTGGATGTCTCATTTCTATTTAACTCAGTAGAGTGCTCAGTCAATACCATGATTTGAGTGTGTCAGATTAATTTAACACGTTGATTGAAACAGGTTTGAAAAGCTGCACAAACAGCACATTATTAAGTATCTCACCTTGAAGTTTTCAGGGTCTACCTGGAGCGTGGTGGCATGGAGATCACTCAAGGAGCTCAGTCCACCAATAAGATCATCCATTTTGCCCACAGCATCAGTGATGGCTCCCATCACAGTTTTGCCATGTTTCTTCACTTGGGCAGAGCCGAGAGAACAATCAGGCCAATGAGCAAAATATATTTTAGTCTGAGGGTAGACAGTAAGCATTCTGCGGGAAGCAGAAGAATCCGTTTAGTGCACATAGTTTTTGCCAGATTTTTAGGTGTTTTTGAAATAAAAAATGAATTTAAATGTGGAGCTCTTACCTTCCCAGAGCTTCTTGGCCTATGGCGTCGGCCTTACTAGAGATTTTACCCCAGAAGGCCTTGACCACATCTTTATCCTTAGCTGTCAAACTCATTTTCCGATCTTTTCCACCTTGTTATTACAAGAGCAGAGTTTTAGGTGTAGGATAAGGGGTCTTTTATAACGCGCAGTGCTGCCACACCCAACAACTCACCAGCTCCACCTCTCAGACTTCAGCCAAAATTTAGGCTTCAGACTATTTTTTGTCAATTAATTTCATCATTCAGTATTTTATCAAAAATACTGAATGGCTATATTTATTTAATTTTTTATATTTATGTATGTTATTTATTTAAAAAAAAAACAGAAAGTGCCTAGAAATCCAGTTGTCTATTTTCTATCATCAATACACTAAAACAATTGCAGAAATAGAGTATCGAATATAATAATCCACAATAAACAATTACGTTGTTTTCACTGAGTAGAAAAAAGGAAATAATGTATTGAATGTGTCTGAATGTAGGCTACTAAATTTTTTTTGTCTGAAATAAAAAAATAATATTGTCCTTTTTTTATTTGTTTTGTTTTAATTATTCCACTAAGATGCAATTTATATTCAGTCGACTGTCTTTGCATGTATGAGATGCTTTGGGGTCATTTGGGGACATTACATGCCACCTAAAGGGTGGGACAAATTAAAAAAGAACAGGACATCCACGGTTATCAAAGTTTACCAAATTAAGAACATTTTGAAACGGGAGGAGCGGGTCTGGGTGTCCAGATAAAGGAAAAAGCTCTGGAACTCGTTAAAATAGGCAAAAAAAAAATTAAATTAGGTATTAGATGGGTCGTTTTGGTTAATTCGATGTTAAATGCATATAGCCTACCACACCTGAGCTTTTCAGCTGTTTGCCACTGATTAATGTGTCCAAATATTACAATATTAATTCGAATACTTTGATTATTTGCCATTCATTTTGTTAATATGACTCTCATCTGCCTATTGGTTTTGAGTAGGCTAATAACTATAGTGTAAATAAAGTTTTTATTTAGACAAATCACGTACAGCCTTGATTAGACAAGCACAATACACATAAAGATCGTGATTTTGTTGATTGATAGATCCACACATATTTGATGATGTTTGAAATATATTTCTGACAAATCAAACTTCGCAGTTTCTAATCAAAATGTAACATTAACTAGGATCGGATCCAACTAGGTACCACACATAGCCAATCAGTCTTAGCGGCTGATGTGGGGCGGAGAACGCAAGTATAAATAAAAACTCCGCGCGCATCTATCTATGTTCAGCAGCATTCACACTTGTTGAAAAAGTAAAGAGATAATCACAATGGTGGAGTGGTCAGATTCCGAGCGCAATACTATTGCGAGTGTCTGGGGCAAAATTAACGTCGGTGAAATCGGACCCCAGGCTCTGGCAAGGTAATTTAACAGTGTGTAAATGATGATATACACAACATGTTGTTCATTCAGTGGTGCATTTTGAACAGACATTGGATTTATGTATTTTCATTGTTTCTCATGGCAGGGTGCTGATTGTATATCCCTGGACTCAGAGGTATTTCGGTTCCTTTGGAAACCTATCCAGTGCGGCTGCAATCCTGGGCAATCCCAAGGTGTCAAACCATGGGAAAACTGTGCTAAATGCGTTGGAAAAAGCTGTGAAGAACTTGGATGGCATCAAAGGCACTTACTCT